TCTTCTGTCCTGGTTTGGAGATCCTTGATCTCATCGTCAAATGCCACCAATGATTCGTTAGTGGCCTTGTTGTCCTCGAATAAGGCTGACGAGGTTTTCTCCAAGTCTGAGATTCGAGACTCGGTTTGTTGACGATGTTGGTCTAAGAAGACCGTCCGATTGTGAAACTCCGTGGTGTTACGCTCCATTGTATGCGCTTGACGCTGGATGAGATTTTCGTAGTGCGCCACCGTTTGTTGACGCATCTCTTCCACCACGTTTGTGACCAGATCAACTACCCAGTTCTTCACATTTTCGGGTATATTCGCATTTGGGGGCGCCGTGTCGGCAAGGGCTTGATGAATGATAGGATTCGGGGGTTGCAAAACAATATTGAGACGTGCGGGAAGCTCCGGAGATGGAGCACGAGAGAAGCTTGGATCATTTGGGGTGGGGGTCGTCATCTTTTACAATTCTTCCTCTATTTCGCGAAGATGTTCTTCGAACTCAGCGAGATGCCTATTGGTGGTCGTGGCCTGTCGGACAATTACTCGTCCTGAGCGTTGGTTTCGCAGCAGCCAAAGGTCTCGATGAATGACCTTGATGAAGGGTTGCCACAAAAACCTGGTCTTGTCCCTGACTGCGAGCCACTGATGGTTGTGATGAATTTCGCAAATACGCTCGACTTCTTCGAGCCAATCGACGAAGCTATTGTAAGCTTCGGTGAGACGGTCTTCGGATTCTTCGGATCCAATAGGGATATAGCAGATGTGAACCGCGACATTCCTCCAATCAAATTCTGGATAGATTTGGAGGGCGTATATGTGATATACGTCGTGGTAATCGATGTCAAACGTGTCCTCGTATGTAGCAAATGCTTCGCCTGCTCTGTCTCGAAGAACACGTGGAATTGAATCCCAAAGATAATCAAAGGTGTGACCGATTGGATTTAACTGCACGAAGTTATCAAGATTGTTCGAGTCGCCGGATGAAGACATATACAAAGTAACTATTCGTATCTACAGCAAAGGTCGCCCTGTGACCTGTATTCCTAGACGATACTTCTGGATAATATCTCTGATTATCCAGTGAGCCTCTCCACCCTGACGCTTTCTTTCCTGGACGTAGTTGCAAAAGTCGCAAACCACGTGTTGGTGAATGAAGGAAAGCTTGAATTCCGCGATGTCGGTGCGGATGGATTCGAGCTTGAGTATGAGATGCTCGAGGTCGAGGATGTCGTGGTCGTCAAGCTGACGACGATATCGTTTAGTGAGTAGAATATGAATTTGTCGAAGGGTGCCTTCGACGCGCTGAGTCGAGATGATGGAGACAGCGAGAGGATAGATGAAATGAGACCCGGTAGCGGTCTCGACGTATGTCCCTTGATTGAGATCTGGACCAGATGGTCCTGCAGGTAGTCTCGGTCTCCTGACCGAGGGAGTCTGGATTATGGAAACTGAACTAGTGCTGCGAGGGGGCCGACCTCCCGTAGAGATGTGTCCTGGCCTTGGCAGGGGTCTTATGGGCCGCTGCTCGTAGAACTCTTCTGGAGTTCTCGCTCGAGGATGACGGATGACACCGTCGGTGCTGTGCAATGCCTTGGTGCGGCTTACGCTGGTAGAGTCGACGACTGATGGAACATCAGGTGAAGATATGACACCGCTAACGTGCGGGTGGACGTGCGAAGACGCAACACTGCGGCGAGTACGCTGTGCAGGCACTCGAGGCAGGTAAGATAAGCAGACTTATTCTTCTATCACAAACTTAGGACGCAGAGCGCCGACTAAGCCTATGACCTTATAATCAAACACTTACTGACTGTTGTCGAAGTAAGGATGGACACAAAGATGATCAAGGTAAAGCAGCGACTTGCAAGTGGTCGCTGGTGACACTGTATGGATAGGCGTAGCAGAGATGAGAATAAGTCTGGGGGACTTATGCGTCTCAGAGCTCTGGCTTATATACAGAGCGGAGGGACCCTTGGTACCCTGATACCCCAGAACCGCTAGCTAATGGACATTGTCTGATTGGTTACCACTACCTGTCAGACTACGTGTGTCATGTATGCCGAATCTCCGAACTACTTAGTAAGACCATGGGAATGGTATTGCCTGTAATGGCTACATCTCCGGTGGCGTGGTATCTATCTACCTCGTGTATGTGAACTAATATACCCTTAAGGACATATCTCCGGTGTCGTGTATCCCCTTCGTTGGATTCTTCCGGAGTCCGACCGTTGCTTCTAGGTGGGATGATATTACTGTATAAGTTAGGCTTACCTGATACCAGCGCTACTTGTCACATGTGTGGATATCACATGATATGTCACGTGACTAGACCTGGACCTTCGGGGTGCCTAGGACTGTTAGTACTTCGCGTACCAGTTCGTTCCTTTCTGAACAGCCTAGCGCTGATGTCCAGTGATGTCTTCGTCACGTGCAGAGGTGAAAACGTGAAAATCTGTGACAGGAAGGTGCCGGCTGGCTAACACCCTTGCCGCACCACGATTTCTTAGAGAACATTCAATGTAATTGTAGTTCGTAGTTAGTACGCGTACTGTGGATTTATATAAGCTTTCGTGAATGACCAACCGTTGATTGGGGATATTCGCGTGATCAAGAGTTTGGTCTGTCATTTCAGTCGAAGTAGGATAATTGGCGGTGCTCTTGGTGCTTTAAATTTGAGTCAGCTAATGAATATTTCCTTGGGGTCCCGACAATCGAGCTGCAGTCACTGTAACCAACTATCGATGAGGAGGTAACGTGGTATTGTGGCCGCCAATCACAGCGCATTTTGAAGATATGCCACTGACGCAAGCGCCCAGTCTTGGACTCTAACCGAATACGTGTTGCACATTCTTCTGACATAAATAGTATTCTGTTCTGCGCATTAGCACGTATGCGTCTTGGCTACAAGAACATAGCGGAACTTTGATGAACTTATCAAACTCAAGCACCGCCGCGTCGATCAACATTCAACCTCAAATCAGTGCCTACGACAAGAAGAAGGTCAGTGGACAGCATTGAAAGACTGTTTCACCATAGATCATATACGGCTGTGCGGCCTCATTGTAGCTGCGGCTGGCGATACCATCATTTATCGGCACTCCAGGGCCCCAGGTGCACTGGCAATGCATCTTTCCTCATGCAGTCAATTGCTTCTGCACAAATGCTGAGATGAATCATTCTCGCTTGACGGTTTCAATGCACAGGGCACAGGCAACTTCTGGTTGAGAACGAGTGCACTGACTCAATTTGCATCCATATACTAGGTCTCAATCTGTCTATGGGAACGTAGCTGCGTGTCCCCAGCATTTCAGGAGCACTTAAAGGGTATTCTCAACATGAATCCCGCTCGCTGAAGGCGATGGTTTCAATAGAGCCGGCATGTTCGATGTGAGCGGCAGATGCTGAGAATGTCAGCTAAGATGAGGCCATCGTACTGTGAGAACTGCGCAGAATCCTCAGTCGACTGGTCAACTCCAACGAGAGAAGAATCTCTGTGCTTTCGTACCCGTAAATTCTTTTTTCCTTGCATCTGATGATCACATCCCAAGCATGTTAAATAGCTTACCAGAGCGAGCTGCTACTCACATCTTTGGCACCCACTCCTATTCTCTATTCGTAGCATGACGAGCTTGACCTCGGACCCGATCAAGCTGCTCGAGATAAAGTGAGCTTTGAATCTCTTCTGTTGGCCAGTTTGCTAATTCCGAGGGCTTGTCATGCATAGCTTCCTGGCGAATTGTGCCTTTGCATCCGCAGCAGGTGAGTGCAATCATAGATGAGAGCCGCTGTGGTGCATTGCAATGATGACCTGAATTAGCCCTCATATTCTACGAACATATTACTACGTTCGACCAAGAGGTTAAATTCTTTTGGGGCAAAAGGTCATTCCCAGCAGTCCTCTTCTTCATCAATCGACTGGTGGCTCTCCTCCATGGTGCTGTATCAGTCTCAGGATTAACAAATATCTACTCACAAACTGTAAGTGTCGCGATGGAACTTTCATCTGATCACGGCGGTCTGACAGGATGCAACGGCAGAGGTTCGTTCCGAGTCCTATAGCTCACGAAGTTGCAAAATCTGTTACATATCATTCCATTTAGCTGTGAAGTAGTAAATTATGCACTTTACAGTCTTCAGCTCGCAATCGTGGCGGTGTCCCAAGGTACATTTACGTGCACCACACTTCAGCTAGATACTCACATCCCATCGCAGTGGTCACGCTACTACGAGTATATGCAGTGACCGAACGTAACTGGCATCCTACCATAATCATCGCGTTGCTAGTCGTTGCGATATTGGGGCTCGATGTTGTCGAAGGTACGCTCTCTGCGATGATTGGATTGAACGAATCGTTCCATCCTAACTCTCTTGTCGTGAGAAGTCTTCATGAACGAATCAACCGGGGTCATCGTTCTAGGATCTACGGCAATTTGCTATATGTTCCCACAGAATTCGTTTGCGAGCACCTACACAAAGTAAGCAACCCATTCTGTCGACAGCTTATATTTTCTTTTCAACTGTTAAATGTTGGAGCACGCAATCCCGCTGCGTCCGTCGGCTGCGCGCCAGCTACCTTATATGGTAACGCTACTCAACGCCCAGCGCGGTGTGACCGGTAGTCTTGGGCTCGGGTGTTTTCGGACACATTTACTCTCGGACTTAGTTACCCGTGTGTTTCCGTGGTTATATACTTGCGCACGTCGCCCGCTCCCCTCAGACGTTGTCTCCCTGCTAGGAGTACCAACGCTGAGGTGAGCTCCATACTGTGCACTCATAGTTACCCTGTATTCACACTCTCTTTAGCTTATACGCGTCTCCGACGCACTTAGGTGAATACACAGACGTTGTCTCCCTGCTAGGAGTACCAACGCTGAGCTTATACGCGTCTCCGACGCACTTAGTACTCCGTAGGTTCTCATAGGTTATGAGCCCCGAGCATAACCTTTAGGACGTCTCAACACACTCGTTAAACATACTTGCTCCATACGCTCCTTGCTGCGATTCACCACAATGTCGACAACGACAATTGACAACTTCACCGCTGCAGTCGACAAGCTCGATTCTACAGGCCGCAACTGGATCATCTTCCAAAAGCGATTCACCATTGCTGCAAAGCAGAAGGAGGTGTACAGTCACCTCACTGGTGCAGCTGCTCGCCCTGTGCATGCTGATCCTGCCAAGCCCACTCCCACTGAGGATGCTGCAATTGCATCCTGGGACAAGAAAGAGAATCTTGCGATGTACCTGTTGACGCAGAAGCTGCATGACGTGACACTGACAAAGCACTTGCGCAAGGGGACGGTTGCAGAGATCTGGTCGGCGGTGATGCAGGAGTTCACTCAGAAGAGTCTGCTACTGCGTGCGACGATGAGAAAGCAATTCATGAACATGCGATACTCACCTGGAGCTGATCTCCATCAAGAATTTGATCGTGTCCGCGTCAAATACGAGGAGCTTCTCAACATGGACATCACGATAAGCGAAATCGAGTACTCCTCCATGCTCATCGATTTCATTATTGTCCGAGGTGAAAATATCCGAGGGCTGTAGACACATAGGAACGAGTGACTCAGCCTCGATGTATGATGCGAGTGCTCTATAAATACCTGTAGACACGTAGGAAAGCGAGTGACTACAGTATATCAGTAAAGACTAAGTAAAGGAGTCCAGTAGGTACTCACCTCAGCCTCGATGTATAATGCGAGTGCTGAGGTAGTAGGAAAAGATTGAGCACGCTTGTGGCTACATGATTACATAAGCAAATGCGCGCGGAATGTCTAAGTCCGTGTCCCACTGGACATAAAGTCCGTATGACTTCCAACACGCCCACTCAGTGGGAATGCGGACCTACTTTTAGAACACTAATTGAATCCTTCATGCTGCTTGTGCTGTGCGCGACCGAGGGTCTTCAGCAGATGTTGTGACTTGCACAGATTGAATGGTAAGTGCCTGTGGCGTAGGGTTTCTTGAGTCCGTCTGTGCAGATTTGAGAACTCGGGCTGCTTGCTGTACGCTGTCTGCGCTGTGTGACTTCCCCTGAATTGTGCCCGATTGCGGTGCGTGGATGGTCGTACTCGTCGTTGAGTGTGGCCTTGACAAACGGGGTAAGTTCTTCCGTTGTCACTGATTTCCGTTGATCCGCATCTGACGTTGATTCTCCGAGGTTCATCGTCAACTGAGTGACCCGTAGCGCCCGCGCGAGCCTTGTCGCGTTCGACTGCGCCCACTTGATGCGCGTTCTTCCCTCCTCTCTCTGACTGTTCTTCTTTGCTTCTGGCTCTCTTCTGGACTTCTGGAGTCTCTACTGCCCGCTTCGTCTTGGCTCCAAGGCCTCCTGGAAATGTCTTGGGCTTGTATGCGCTGACAGAGGACCACGGATCGTCGTCGCGAATCAGCGCTGGGCGCGCATGTGGATTGACGGACATGGCTCTTTGAAGCCTTTGGAGCGGGAGCGGGAGTGGCTGCGCGTTGAGTCCGAGTGTGTGAGAGAGATGCTGTGGCCTTTGAGATGGCAGGTAAGTGCTCCTTCTCGATTTCGCGCTGAGGCGGAGAAGGAGGCGAGCAGTTTGACGCGGTCTGGCGTGCCAACGCGGCGTGATGGCTGGGCGAGGGTACTGTGTTGCCCTCGTCGTCTTCGTCATTGCTGCTGTCATTGTCGCCATCACCGGTGGACGTGCTACTGGGTGCGTCGAGTGGTGGCGGCGTTGGGTGATGTTCGGCGGCTACGATCGTGATACGAGCCGCTCGTCGTTCGCGAGGGCTGTGAGGAGTGCCGGCAGGTGAGCTCGGCGGTTTGCCCTGCACTTCGTGCTGAAGTCCAGGGTCGATCACTGTGCGTGTCTGCCGTGTACGGATGCCCTCGTCGGAGGCGGCGTTTTGCGCGTCGTGTGTGCGCCCACTCGTTCGGTGAGAGGCAGCGTGTGCCTTCACGTTTTGAGCATACCCGAGGGTGACGCGCTTGACCGACTTGAGGTCGAGTCTGGCGTCATGGGCCGTACACCCGTGCGTGCAGATGTGCGTGGCCGAGGGCTTGATGCCCGTCTGGATGGGCTTACTGGTCTTCACGTCGTGAGTCGCGTTGCTCACGGTGTTCGTGTTACTGACCGCGCCTTGATAGACCGTTTGTAGGGTGACTTCAGTACCCATGTGGCAGGTCTTGTGGTGCCACTTTACGACGTTCGTCTTGTGCGTCGTCGTCTTCGCCGCCAGCGCTTCGAGTGAAGACTCGTCGGGATCCGTGGAGGAGTCCGCGCGCGCTACGAACGCTCATATGGGAGCGTGTGGGATCGACTCGAGGACGTAGAGACCATCCGTCTTGTGTGCTAGGCCCGTCGTCTCGCCGTTGCAAGTGATTTTGCAGGCATCGCCGCAGAACGTGAGGGTCTGACCTCGTTCGGTGAGTCGCGAGGTGGAGAGGAGGTTGCCCTGGAGCTGCGGTACGTAGTAGACATCTTGTATCAGCGTCGGGCTTGTACGTCCGTCTTCGGTGGCTAAATCGATGTAGATTTGACCGATACCTTCTGCGTGAATGCACCGTCCATCTCCGAGCCAAACGCGCTTCGGTGAGGTAAGGTTCATGAATTGAAAGAACCAGTCGCGGCGTGAGCTCATGGATGCCGTTGCGCCTGAGTCGAGAATCCAATGGTCGGCGGGTAGGCTGCGCTGCGTGAGCGCATGGGCGATGAACAGTCAGAGGACGAGGGACACTGTGGTACCCCGAGTGGACGTGACCTTCGCCGCAAGGTCTTCACTGTCATCGCTACCCTCTTCCTCCTCCTGCTTCTCCTCGTCTCTCTTCTTCTTTCGGCACTCCTCCTCCGTGTGGTTCAGCTTGTGGCAATAGCCACACTTCTTGCCGGATTTCAGCTGCTTCCCATTCGACTTCGATGTTGATGGCATACCTGACAGCTTGGCGGCAAGCGCGTGCTGCGATCCCTCCTTGAGGCGTTCGCGCTCTTCAGTAAGGACCTGGTTTGTGACCGTCTCCGTGGTGAGCTTGTCGCTCGTCGACATGAGGATGGTGCGAAGTACTGAATAGGACGGGGGGAGTGATATGACCATGGCGACCGCGATCAGTGAGTCTTCGAGCGGCTGTCCGAGTGTGGCCAGAGTGTTGGCCTTTTGGACCATGCCGTCGAGCTGTGCCTCCATACCGGTCTCATCAGAGAGCGTATCACGAAATAGCTCACCAATGAGGTGCGCTATCGTCTGTTTCCCCTTCCCCTCATACCGCGCGGTGAGTTTGTCCCATACAGACTTCGCCGTCTTCTCGTACATGATGCCGCTCAGAGGCGTGTCTTTGAGCGTGAGCGTGATCTGCGCCTTTGCGTCTTGATCCTTGTCATCCCATTCGGCCTGCTTGTCAGATTCGGAATCTGCGGGTCGAGCTTCCTTACCCTGGGTGATGTTCCAGAGTTTCCTGATGTGTAGCACCGTCTCGAGACGGAACTTCCATTGCTGGTAGTTTGCTCCATCATCCTCGAGGAATGGTATGTCATAGAGGCAGTTTGAGCCGAGAGAGAGTTTGACAGATTTGGACATGGCGTGAGAGGGTGTGGAGTGAGAAGGTGTAGACTGTGGTGCAGGAGGTGCTGGTGTGGGTGCTGGTCGAAGAGAGAAGATTTAAAGGATTGTGAGCACAGTGGAAGCTTGAATGAATGGACAGGTTAGTGTGTAGCTGCGGGGCTCATAACCTATTGTCCGAGGTGAAAATATCCGAGGGCTGTAGACACATAGGAACGAGTGACTCAGCCTCGATGTATGATGCGAGTGCTCTATAAATACCTGTAGACACGTAGGAAAGCGAGTGACTACAGTATATCAGTAAAGACTAAGTAAAGGAGTCCAGTAGGTACTCACCTCAGCCTCGATGTATAATGCGAGTGCTGAGGTAGTAGGAAAAGATTGAGCGCGCTTGTGGCTACGTGATTACATAAGCGAATGCATGCGGAATGTCTAAGTCCGTGTCCCACTGGACATAAAGTCCGTATGACTTCCAACATTCATGTCGCCTGAGCTTTCCACGTTCATCTCGCAGCTCTCGTCAACTGTGAAGGCTGCTCGAAGAATCCAGGAAGCGATCACACCTAGTACAGTGACAGCCGCCACCCCGGCGCAGCTCAAGGCATTCGAGAAAGAGACCCCGGATCTGCCACCCGAGGTGCTCATGGAACTTGCATTGGAAGAATGGGATCGCCGCCATGGGACGTCAAAGGGAAAAGGTGCGAAACCTGATCCTGGGGTTGCTGCCGCTGTGCTGTCGAGCGAGAAGCTGAAGAGCTGGAAAGGCAAGAAGGGGCCGTGGAAGCCAGTCGGTGTTTGCTGGAACTGTGGAGGTAAAGGTCATAGGCAAGATAACTGCTCAAGCCCGAAGCAGGACAGCAAAGATGCGAAGAACGCACCTGATGCCAAGACTGACCAGGCAAAGCCGAAGCCGACTGCGGCATCAGCTGTCGACCTCAATGCCATTGCCGGAGCATGGACTGCCATAGACTTTGACCTGTCAGATGTCGAGTCGACTTGCCCATCCATTTTCTCGTCAGCTGGACAATCGGATTATACTGCACTTACTGAAGCTGACTCTGATGCTTCTACATCTGTGCCGGACTTAGAGCGCACTGCAGATGACCTGTCGGAAGTCTCTGAAGGTCATGAGGAGCACGCCATTGCTCCTGTTGAGGCTGTGCCTGAAGTCGGTGATGGCGGCCTCACGAAAACTGTTCCTCTTGCCGAGAGGATGCTGTCTGTACAGGGCTGGCTTGGAAGCCTTGCGAGCGAAGAGGACATGCCGGTGGATGCGGGTGACGACCCGATTGTATTGCCGGATGTTGCTGCTGTCGCTGTCGCACTAGTTGCTGATGCGCATCAGCCTAGGGACCTGTACGACTCTGGAGTGAGTCACCACATGTCACCATATCGGGAGGATTTCCTTACCTTCCATGAGATTATGCCATGACCGCTGAGTGCAGCTAATTAAGAGAACTTTATCGCTAGTGCCGTCGGCGATTTGATTATCGAAATTCCGCATGACCCTTTGCCGACTCGTATTCACCTGACTTGAGTCCTTTACACACCGTCGATCAGATTCAATTTGGTTGCCATTGGTCATATTGACGACGCTGGGTACACGACGACGTTCGCCGGTGGAACATGCAGTATCTACGGCAAAGATGGGGTTCTGATCAGTACAATTCCGAAGGAAAGAGGACTTTATATGGTCACCCATACACGTACCATTCCCTCTGCTAACACTGCCGTGCTTGCTGAGAAGGTCACTGTCATGGACCTTCATTGTCGTATGGGCCATATCGCACCACGCGCCGTGCGCGAACTTGTGACGAAGGGACTTGTGACCGGTGTCAAACTCGTGGAGTCCGACGAGTCCAAGCAATGCGAAGCTTGTATTCGCGCGAAGTCCACGCGGATGTCAGTTCTGAAGGAGCGCGAAGGTCGTCGGGCAACCAAATTTGCTGCCAAAATACATTCCGACGTGTGGGGCCCTGCACGCGAACCAACGCTAGGTGGACGGAAATATTTTGTCAGCTTTACAGATGATTTCAGCCGCTTCACGACGGTGTACTTACTGCGGCACAAAAGCGAGACTATGGCTGCCTATAGGACATTCGAGGCATGGTGTGAGACCCAGCTGGGTGCTCACATTGGTGTGCTGAACACAGATCGTGGTGGGGAGTATCTCAGTAACGAGTTCAAGACTCACCTGGAGGAAAGTGGCACACACCAGAAGCTGTCCGTACACGACACTCACGAGGAGGCTGGTGTGTCGGAGCGGCTTGGTCGCACCCTTATGGAGAAGGTCCATGCGATGCTGATCGCGGCGGGTGCCCCTATCTCTCTGTGGGGTGAAACTTTGATGCACGCGGTGTATCTGAAGAACCACACGTCAACGAAGGCGCTCGATGGGCGAACACCATATGCTGTGGTTTACGGCCACTTACCTAACGTCGTGAGATTCCCAGTCTGGGGATCGAAGGTGTGGGTGCACGACACGAGCACTGGCAAGCTCGGTGTGCATGCGAAGGCGGCTCGATGGGTTGGCTTTGACACCCAGAGCAAAGGTCACCGGGTCTATTGGCCGGACAAGCGGTCTGTGACGGTTGAAAGGAATGTGCAGTTTGGCGATCCGCACTTGCCTGTCGTTATCGCTGACATTCCTGAGCTTGAGGGGGAGGATTCCGAGCCTGTAGACAAGCCTGAGCCGTCAGCTGATGCACCGAAGGATACACCCGTGACTGCGGTGAATAAGACGCTTGATAACGCATCTGAAAGTCCCGCTGACAGCGTGCCGCTGCCTCCTCCACTGCCTGTTGCAGAACTGCCACGTCATTCGACGCGCGTATGCAAGCCCTCGCGTATCTTGCGTGATATCCTTGAGGGAAGAGCTGCCGATGCAAAGCCAGCGAAGGGCGTCCGTGTTCCTGACGAGGAGCTGGGTGCCACATCAGAGGACGAAGTGATGGCCGAGTTGGACGAGGAGATCTCGGGCATGGCTATGGCTGCAAAGATGGCTGACGCTGAGGGTCTTGAACCACGCACGATAGCTGAAGCGAAGAAGCGGCCTGACTGGCCGCACTGGGAAGAGGCAATAGAGGAGGAACTGCACGCGCTTGAGGCGCATGGGATATGGTGACTGGAGAAACCACCTGTGGGAGCTAATATAGTCAGCAACCGCTGGGTTTTTGCTATCAAGAAAGATGCGCAAGGGAATATAGAACGTTACCGTGCTCGCTTGGTTGCCCGAGGTTTCTTCCAGATCCCGAACGTCGACTTCTTCGATACCTATGCACCGGTTGCGAAGACCGCATCCATCCGCGTTGTGCTTGCCCTCGCCGCTCGTTATGACTTCGAGATCCATCAGCTCGATGTAAAGAGTGCATATCTGAATGGAGAGTTTGAAGAAGGAGAGGTCATCTACATGAAGGTTCCCGAGGGTGCACAACTCACCAGTAATCCGTCGCTCGCACTCCGTCTCCTCCGGCCACTCTATGGTCTTCGCCAAAGCGCTCGCCACTGGTATAAGAAGCTGCTCCGTGTGCTGCAGGAGCTCCTTCGACTTGCGCAGAGCGATGTCGACCAGGCCGTGTTCTTCCGCTGTGACGAGGCCAGCTTAATCGTTATAGTCGCGCATGTCGATGACTTGACAGTGGTCGCATCCAAGCCAACATTGATAGCTGAGGTCAAGTCGAAGTTGCGTGAGGCCTTCGAGATATCTGACATGGGGGAAATCCATTGGATTTTAGGATTTGCCGTGGAACGCGACCACGCGCGCCATATGCTAGCGCTGTCGCAGACCTCCTATATCAACTCCATCCTGAAGCGGTTTGGTTTCGAGGATTTAAAGCCACTCACTGTGCCAATGGGCCCCAATGCCCACCTCTCGACATCGCAATCTCCCCAGACTGCTGCTGAATTCGCCACCATGCGCGATGTGCCCTATCGCGAGGCCGTCGGTTCCCTCATGTATGCATCGCTTGGTACTCATCCTGACATCACGTACGCCGTCTCAATTCTCTCGCGTTTTTCTGACAATCCTGGACTGGTGCACTGGGAGGCTATCAAACGAGTGTTTCATTATCTTGCTGGGACCAAAGACCTGAAACTTACTTATGGCGAGACCAGCTTGGACCTGGTTGGTTATACCGATGCAGATGGGTCCATGCATGAGGACCGCAAGGCTATTTCGGGTTACGCTTTTCTAATCGACGGCGACGCGGTATCGTGGAGCTCGAAGAGACAAGAGATTATCACGTTGTCGACGACGGAAGCCGAGTACGTCGCAGCCGCCCATGCCGCAAAAGAGGCCTTGTGGCTTCACTCCCTAATCGGGCAAGTTTTTATGCCGTTCACTAGCCCCATTGTTCTCAATGCCGACAATCAATCTGCTATCGCGCTGACGTGCGACAATCAATACCATGCTCGCACGAAGCATATCGACATTCGTTTTCATTTTCTTCATTGAGTTGTTGAAGATAAGAAATTGGTTCTAACTTACTGTCCTACTGATGACATGGTAGCTGACACCCTGACCAAAGCCTTGCCGAGCCCGAAGGTCAAGCGTTTTGCTGCCGCCCTCGGACTGCGCAAGGATTGAGGGGGAGTGTTGGAGCATGCAATCCCGCTGCGTCCGTCGGCCGCGCACCAGCTACCTTATATGGTAACGCTACTCAACGCCCAGCGCAGTGTGACCGGTAGTCTTGGGCTCGGGTGTTTTCGGACACATTTACTCTCGGACTTAGTTACCCATGTGTTTCCGTGGTTATATACTTGCGCACGTCGCCCGCTCCCCTCAGACATTGTCTCCCTGCTAGGAGTACCAACGCTGAGGTGAGCTCCATACTGTGCACTTGTAGTTACCCTGTATTCACACTCTCTTTAGCTTATACGCGTCTCCGACGCACTTAGGTGAATACACAGACGTTGTCTCCCTGCTAGGAGTACCAACGCTGAGCTTATACGCGTCTCCGATGCACTTAGTACTCCATAGGTTCTCATATTAAATACCAGGCGTAAGCTAATTATATGGACTCTCCCTTCAAAAAATGAGCCACGCTAACTGTCACTTCGTAGTAATAATTGCCCTCCTTGTTATTTCTGTGGTCTACAACGTTGTAGCGGTCGGTGTCATCTGGAGGATGCTATATGAACAACTCAGCCAGAACTCCACTGGAGTGTTTTCACAGAGTCCATCACTAGTGGCATTGTTGCTGAGAGACGGTGAGTAAAGCTTACGTTGTAGGACCGTGATTGGGTCATCTTTTTTTTTGCATGTAGGTACGATTCAGTTCGTGTATGTGGCCAACTCTTTTTCCATTGCAGGGGAAACTAAGACATTCGCCATAGAATGTTATTACTGCTGAACGTTGCCATCTGCATACTATCGTTTGTTGGCCAGGTCAGTGACCCAAAATATCCATCAACGTTCATACTGATGCTGCTGAATGCCTTCTTGAACACCCTGACCTCCTATGTAGAATGCCCTATATGCTGTCAACAATTTGGGGGCACCGTTAAGTTTTATTGGAGTGCGGCCGCTCTAGGGCGATGGGGAGGATGGGGAGCCCGGGTTTGACAGCACGGACACATGATCAGCGTGTAGGTACAGAGCGATGCGTCTCGGTAGTAGCACCTAGTGTTGTTCAGGGCCAGGTTAGGCTTGAAAGCCCAGGGCCGGGCTCAGCTTGAGGGGGCTTGGGCTTGCATATTTTGCAAGCCGGGCCTTCACTGGAGGGCCGGGTCAGGCTCAGGTCGGGCTTGGGCTCAGCCTCGGGCTTGTTATATAGACACTCGCAGAAATGCATTTTTGTACTTCATAGAAAGAATATGAATCTAATTGAGTGATCTACACATCAACATCATCGTCTTCTACATCAGAATCCAGGTCTAGCACCAGATTTTCATCAATATCATTGCGTGAGGGTTCATAGTTCTCTTCAGCAGCTTCTAACTCCTCCTCCGTGAAAGACGAAGGCCCAACATCATGAAAAAACAGGTTCTTACGGTACGCACATTTGAGTGCCTGGAGGGCCTCAACAATGTCGCCCTTCAACCAGTTTCGTCGTTTAGTAATCGTGATGCCTGCGCTAGAGAAGGCCCGTTCACTTGAGACCGAGGTTGCCATAATTGCAAGATAATCACGTGCAAGCGAAGCCCATATAGGGAAGCAGTGTGCATTGAGCTGCACCATTGCGTAAGTGGAGATCAGCAGAAGGCCTTCCATACAAAAATATGTAGTACGTACCCCCCACCAATGCACCGTAGAGACCGTCTCTGGAATATCATCATCGAGCATTACATACTTATTGAACTCCTTCTCCCACTCCTGTCCTGGATCTATGACAGTCTGGCTCGCACCTCTAGATGGCATGGCATGAGTTTCCTCATCAGAGGACAGGTCAGCAAGCATGGAGCCCATGCGTCGAATAGACTTCGTCTTAAGCGACATTGCTTCGTTGGCAGGGTTGGCAGCGCCGCAGACATTGGCATACCTCTCCTTGTACTAGCATGACTTCGTTAGTGGCTAGTAACATACGAAATAAGGAGTGACTTACAATTCGCCTGATAAGCAACATGGCTTCATCACGCAGAGACTTTGGCCAGCTCCTCTCAAAGAATGAGAATCGTATACGAGGGTTTAAGACTAGGGCTATATGTCAGTACTCATTTGATTCATGTAAGTCGCAAATGTACGTACTGATTGAGAATACATATACGTCGTTGTCGCCTGTCTTGTCATAATACTTGCTAATCTTGTCAAGCCCTGACTGTAATCCGGCTTCGAAATACTCATACTGGTCGTTTTGAAGTCGCTCCGTCCAGCACGCGTGCAAATCTTCAAGCGCAGGTAAGGCGAGATGTAGTGCAGGTTCATGCTCGGATGAGAAACGCTGTTGGCAAGCGTCCGCACTCTGACATGGATGGATGGTCATGCAAAGTCTAAATATCACAGTGAGGGTGCTGAACGTACCTGTAGAATGCGCTGAAACTTCTTGACGCGATTCCATTCTTCAGCGCTGAGCAACAGTGAGTACAATTTTGCTGAGGTTGCGCGATCCTTGGCAGCATGAGAGATTTCCGTAATGAACTTCTCGACATGCTGTAAAGGCATGTCTTCAGTCAGCTATGAAGGCACACACAGAAGTCTATATTAAAAACCTGCCGTGCGAAGACTGTAGGCACGATTTAACATCATGTACGTCAATGACCAACGGACCTTCATATCGACTGTAAGAGTCTTGATGTCATTGAAGACAGCGCCGGCTGTCACTTGAATATCATGAAAGCGCTGCTTGCGCTGACTTGAAGAGCGTTCCTGTGTGATGACAATCAGTATTACACTGGACGGTGAACGCTCAGCCTGGCTGCTTTATTCGTGCCTACCTTGACCGATATAGCACGAATAAGTCCGACTTCATCATGCACAAGTGCGTTCATATCTGGTAAGTGCACGTCGGGCTGGTGAGGATCATAGTGAGGAGATTTACTTTGCACAGCTATCACTGCTTGAGTAGCTAAGTTTATGATATGGACGAGGCATCTGTAGGATAAATGTAATCAGTAGTGGCTCGAAGCTTTTGCATCAACAATACGGATACATACCCGACGCGCCGCTGGTCTGCATCAAAATCTATGTGATGTTCTTTGTTGATGACCCTGGCGAATTCTCTCATCATCGTTAAGTTGGGGCTCGCATTGTCGCATGTCACCATGAATATCTGCAAGTCAATGAAGGCTCGTCATCAAGGCACACATGATTTCGCATAGTATTAGATTAGCACTCACTCTTTCTTCTATCCCAACGTGTTTGGCGACCTTATATAATGCTTGACCGAGACGTTTACCGTGATGTGAGTGATTCATCTGCACGAAACCGATGAGTGTGCCCTCTAACGTCCATGCACTTGACACCTTCTCCTCGATCCAGTGGGCAGTTACAGCGAAATAGCCATCGATGTTGCTTGCTTGCCAAGCATCGCAGGTAAGTGATATCTTGCCAGATACAGTCGGTCCCTGAGGCATCAATGTAGGTCAAAAGGGTCTACGCAGTAAGGATATACATACCGTCAGACACCGCTTCAAGTCACGTAAGTATTGATGAAATAAATTGATGATTTCACGCCGTGTGGTGGATCGTCTAGAGATCTTGATGACGCCCTTGGCACGTGAGGCAAGTTGGATCATCTTCTCGAATGCTGGGTGTTCGAGGGCACTGATGGGCTAGTAAACTTCATCAGTAAGTCGAATCAAACCTGTTCTTTTGAACAGCTCACCTGATCTGTCTCCACAAGCCATTGTATTGTGACAGCCTGGAACGCATCATCGGAATATGGAAGGACACGTTCGACAGCATTTCCCATCTGAACGCGTCCATCTAATGTGCCCTGTGTCTTATAGCCTTCGACAATGTTTGCCTTTCGGGCTGTTACGTCGTCCGGAAGCTTCGATTCGAAAGCTTCTTTCTGGCACCACTTGTAGTATCTGTGCTATATGTGCCATTAATAAAGGCACAAAATCAGCGGAATGAGCATACCTTATGGTGACACTGCAAGTGCCGTCGCAGTGTTGTCACATCTGCAATGATGGTGTGCTCGCCAATACGCGTTTTCCTGCAATAACGAGTCAAATCATATCAACAAAAGCAGTTATAATAACACATTAAAACTTACTTGCAAAGCCGACAATCATGAACGCGCTGCTGCTTGTCTGGTTTGGAAGGATGACAACGTTCTCGAGGGTCATCAAAAAATGCCTGTATATCAGCGGTCTCTTTGAGTCTTGTCTTCTTCTCACTCGGCTCCACAATGTGGGCAAGATCTTTCAGGTGGCCTTCAGAATTGTAGACATCCTGATCCTTCTCGCTAGCATTATCGAATATGTCGTCTGCAGTACAATGATAAGTGTCAGCTGCTGAATCATGCAATATGTACTTACCTGATCCTTTCTTTCGTTTAGGTGGCCGAATCTCCTGATCTTCATCATCATCCCCCTCAACTTCAATCACCGCTGCTGTTGGTCTTGGAGAGTGAGGGTGAACGATACCTATAATGGTGTGTCTTTCAGCATTGTTCTCATCTGTGAGTCGAGCGCTGGGTTTTGGCACGCGTTTTTGTAGCAGTGATGCAGATACTTTGTCTGCGAGTGCGACTTCGTCACCCATGTTGAAGGCCTAAAGATAAGGGGGGAATCTCGAGCAGTGGTGACGTGGTGAAGAGGACACACCAAAATTTAAGGGCTGCTTCTAGGGCCCTATTTTTCCGTGCAAAGCCCTAGCTATCCAAGTTTCAGGGTGAGTTGCCCAGCTATATAGTGAAATTCAATAAAACTGACCTTGCTGTCTGTGTTCATGGCACCAGCTATCCATCTGAATATACAAAATGGTGATATGACGTGGCACAGATGGAACCTGAGTTGTGTAGAGGATGCTTACCTCTCGCAAACCGCATTGCATCTTGACTGAAGTGGTGGCTAGAGCTTCAGATCTGAGATCCCACCTGGGCTTGGCGACGAGTGCGCTGGTCGCTGACTGTCGGCTGCTGACTGGGGAAACATCAGAAGATGTGGGAGAGCGGTGTGGGGAGGCATCTAGAACGACAGCGATGGCGCGATTATGAAACAGTTATACAATTCGCTGAGTTGACGTCCAGCACACGTGCGTACTTTTCATTTCAGGACATTGGCAAATATGCCCAAAGCCGCGGGCTTGTACGGCCGGGCTCAGGCCTGCTGAAGCAAAAGCCGGGCCCTCTCATTGGGCTCATGGTGGGCTTGGGCTGGGCTTTTAGTGGCTGGGCCGGGTCAGGCTTGGCCGGGCTTGGGCTCAGAAGCCCAGCCGCGAATAACACTAATCATCTCGCTGAACATCATTGATTTCATTGGGACAGGCATCATCCAGGACGGGAAGACAGCTCGCGAGGTGTGGGAGGCGTTGGTGGTGAAGAGGGAGCGCAAAAATGAGCTGACGATGACGAACGCTGAGGATTACCTCAAGGCGTGCATTTGGGCTGAAGGGACGGACCTCCAGGACCACTTTACTGAATTGCGGCATCATCTACGCACTGCTCGTGATCTCGGGTCCTCGATTACCGACGCACGATTTGCCATCATCATCTGTCACTCGATGAAGGCTCTCTCCTCCATTAAGTTAGTCACCACCTTGCTGCTGCTCCAGACTGACCCCGAGATTGTCATGGATTCTATCCTTGCTGTGTTCGAGAGCGAGCACATACAGTCAGGTGGCACCCCAATGGGCGGGAGCGCAGTGCCATTACTCGGCACTACGAGCGCGTTCATGACACGTGCGAGGGCCAACATTATTTGTGAATGGTGTGGATGGTGTGGACACCAGAAGGCCGATTGTTACTGTGAGGGAGGGGGATGACCAGGGCAGCAACCTGTGACTTGGAAGACACTTCCGCATCCGAAGAAGGGGTCCCCGGCCGAGTGCGCTCTCGCTAGCAAGGCATCCTCCAGCATCGCCGTCCTGCAGGCGCATCTAACAACTGTCACGGCATCTGACTATGGCATCGAGGAAGACACTCCGATGACATCCAGCTACGATTATCATATATTTCTCATCAGTGCTAACGTCACCAATCTGGTTTCATCTACTGTGGATGGCAAATTATCTCGATTCTTTGCTTTCACTGACACAGGAGCTACGCATCATTATTTTACGGACCGAGCCTATTTTTCTGAATACATGCTGCTCGCTCCAACACTGGGCAATGGTGCGAAGAAAGGCTCCTCCTTCCATGTTATAGAGGTCGGGAATGTCGTGGTGCAGGTCGTTATTGATGGAAGGACATCCGTCATGACGTTCCAGAACACGATCCATGCATCTGAACTAGCAGCAAACCTCATTTCCATGTCACGGCTTGACCGGGCTGGATGTACATACTCGAGGGAGCATGGCAAGTTGACCATTCGTGGTCCATTGTCACGGCCAATCATTATCGGCACGCTTACTCCTGGGGACCTATACGAGGTTGTGCTTGAGAAGGTCGATCTGCAGATCCTACCCCAACTCCCTCGTGCCTTACTCACTTATGATCCTCACACATTGGCCATGCCCGGGCTGAACTCCGCTGCAGATGCGATGATGTGGCATTGTCGTCTGGGACATGTCAGTGAGTGGACTGTAGAGGAGATGAAGAAGAGCGCACTGGTTACCGGAATGGTCGTGAATGGCAGTAAACCAGTTGGTCGTTGCGAAGATTGCATCAAAGGCAAACAGGCCCGTGCCCCATTCTATCCTTCCGCGGTCGAGACGCAACTCTTGGAGCATGTTTACGTCGATCTCATGGGACCGTTTCCGGTGTCCTCGCTAGGCGGCGCACGATACCTGATGACGATTGATGACGGTGCATCGTCATTCACGACCGTCTATCCTCTGGCTAACAAGACCAAGGAGGACACTCTGCGATGCTTCCAGGTCTTCCACTGCATGGCTGAGCATCAGACCGGCCAGAAGCTCCGCAAAGTGCATTTCGACAATGGAACTGATCTCGGAGTTTCCCGGTCTAAGCACAGCAAAGATGAGTCCGTTGTCCAGGGATCTCGTTAGAGTCGTTTAGACATAGTAAACTACTGAGGTATGTACATCTTCTCGGTCCATTATTTATTGACTAATGCCATGGTCGGACTCTATCGTACGACACCCACTCGTTGCTAGGGCATGTCGCTCCGACCGTCCGACCGGCCACTTCTCCCCGCTTGCAACAAGAGCGTACCTGAGTGCCGCGCGCACTCTCCTTCCAACACGCCCCCTCGATCGCCGTCATCAAGCTGTCAGAATAGGCAAATGTGGCCGTCAGTATACGCCACCTTGGCCTTCGCACCCTTGTCATCCGGCTTCCCTTCCTCGTCATCCGAGTCATCCTTGCCATCATCTGACTTGGTCGGGCAGTCCTTCCGTACGTGCCCTATTCCTCCACACTTGAAGCACTTACGCTTCTCGCCCCCTGCAGCCACCTTCCACTTCCCTTTCCCAGCCTTAGCCATCATGGCCACCGCATCTCGGTCATCCTCCGTATCCTTCTGGTGGGTCTCCTCGTTCAGAAGTCTTGCTGTAACGTTTGCGACGGTGAGCTGTTTGGGTGGGATCAAGTCGAGCGTGACTACGAGCTGGTCGTAGTGTTTTCCAAGGCCCATGGTGAGTCCCAACACCATGTCCTCTTCTTCTACTTTTACCCTGGCGTATTCCAGATCTGTGGCCATTTTCTTCATCTGCCCGATCCACGCTGGCATCGCCTCGTCGGGGCCCTTCATCATGACAAATAAGCTGTGTGCTACCAGCAGCAGGCACAGGCTTGACACTATGCAATGAGGACTTAGTGGGCAAGGCTACAAGACTCCCAGTTAAGGGGTCGAGTCTCTCAGTGGAGAAGTCACTATAGATTCTGGTGTAGCTACCTGGTATATATACATGTGGGTAAAGACCCCATATACCGGGTCTAGGACCTCTGGTATCTACAGCCATGTCTATCTACATAGATGAGTAATACTACAGTATCTAACACATGACCTGTGGCTGTGTGTACTGGCCAACGGCATATTTACTCTCTATCGTACGATACTTCATGAATATCGTGATTGGCTAATGTCTCATCGTACCATCTCTATGGATTATACTATTGGACAATGCCCTTCCATACCCTTCTTCATATTGTGATCTTCGTAGATTACTTGGAATATATTATTCCTTCAACACCCTCTCTTAATCGAGATAATCACAGTATGTATCACATCATTGTGTGTACTATAGTTTCTATGAACTATTGACGAGTTTCATGAACAAGTCATTCCTGTGGGTTTGTTGACATGAAGAAATGAGGAAGCAAGCATACAAGCCTCCAGAGTTTGGAATGTTTTTAGAAACAAGTGTTTTTGTTTCAAGGACAAATGTTTTGCCCTGTGTTGATGCAGTTTAAATGGACTTGCTCAGGTCATTTAGAAACAAAAGTGTTGTTTCAAGGACAGTGTTTGCCCTGTGTTCACAATATATCTTAGATGAGTATGAGCATGGGCCACCAGAACTATGGTCATCAACAAACATCATAAGATACTATGACAAGGTATAAACCAGGCATAATAAAGTGAACTGGCTAATCATCATGGTGATTGCCATTTGATGCAGTTTAAAGACTTGCTTCAGGTCAAGGTGCTTGCAGTTTAATGACTTGCGCTAGGTCATTCATGGCACTCAAAGCTGCCAAAAATTGAACAGTTTAACGACGTGCCAAGGTCGTGTAAATGCATGATTTGTAAAAAGAGACATTTAAGGCCCTGCCACGGCCCTTCAGTATCACTCCGGATACTGGGCTTCACCAGTTGTCGAACACTGTCGTCGGTCCTTGTCGAATTCACATGTTCTTGTCGTGCCTCCATGGATGCTTTCACTGTGCCATGGGGGTGTCACAAAGCACCAAAGCACTTAACCCAATTAAGGGCAAGTCTGCTTTTGTGACCTGCACAAATGATCCCACATAAAAAGCCTGCCACAAGGGCTAGGCTGAGGATGCGCGCAGTGGTATGCAGTCTGGAAATGGGGCTCAAAGGGCCCTTAGCCTTATGCTCACAACTAGGGGGTGAATTGGCTGTTTAGGCCGCATACAATAGGATAATGAATCTAAGATCTTCCCTTAGATCCTCATGTGCTTATATACATGTAGTGGTGGACCCTGGGTACCCTAACTATGGTGTACTTACTGGGGTCCTGTCCTGTCTACATGTGAACATATTGTCAAAACCAGTAATGGTTCTGGACTTCGCTATAGCAACTATCTATAAAGGCCGTGGATATGCCAAGGTAATCCTACTTTACCCAATGAGATAATTGCCTGAAGGTGGTGCCACTATTTGAGTGGCTGAAGTGGTGCCACTTATTGAGTGACCAATGGGGGTTCTGCCATAGCGCATATTCTAATGCTGGTGCTACTATTTGGCAGCCATGTAGTTGGTGCTGCTATTTGAGCAGCGAATTGGGTGCTTGCTAGCTTGATGGTCCAATGAGCACGAGTAAGCCTATTGTGGGCCAAAGAGTTCCATTCTGGGCAAGTGGCCTGGTGTCACGTGACCAACACCTGATAAGTTTCAAATAGGGCAAGTGGCCAGTGTCACGTGACTGGGTGGCTGAATCATGGGCGCTTGGTGGTCATG